GAATTCCTTGAGCTTGAATGGTGTTTTATTCAGGGTGTCCTCACAGTCTGATTCTACTAAGCTATTAGAGCTCTAATAAGACTGTGCTGCATTTACAGCTGAATGATTCCATCTGTGCCTTGCACAGAGGATTGCATACTGCCATGAGGCACAGTGCTACTTACGTAAGGAAGCAATGGTTGGGAGTGCAGGCCCTGTTGCTCTAATTCTGTCTTTCTTCTTCCACGTTGCCTTCAGTGGCTTATAGCAGAGAGTACCTGCCTGGTGACTCACATCATGAGGTAGATTTTTCAGAAGGCTGCATCACAGAAATCCATAGCTCAGTTGACTCAAAGTTTGATTGTTAACCCTGTTAGGCACAATAAATTTCAAGAGAACTTGAAAGTTGTGATATTAACAGTATTTGAATAAGTCTGTATTTAAATTGGAATTTTATTGTCTTTAATATGTACTTGATAAATTTGTTTTTGGTACTTTTTGGTATCCTTTTTTCATCCTCTTGCGCTTTGGACAAACTGCAAGAAAACCGACAAAACATTGCTTTGACAGTACATAATGAGTTAAGTGCTTCCTTTTTAGTTTAATTGTATTGATACTTGACTGTCTCTCTCAAGCAGTGATGGAATAATGTTGATTTATGTTGCCACTGGGCAAACGTTCAAATCGCAAAACCCAGAAAATTACTGTAGCTTTTGCACTGTTTCCTCACAGTTAATGAATGCAGTGTTTTAAACTTTGCAACTGTTCAGTGAGTTGTATTATTTACAGTAGGGTGCAGACCTAAAAGAATAGCTTGTTTTTCAGGTATTTGTTAGTCTAACATTTACTTTGTGTTTTATGTACGTGTGTTTTATCTGTAGATTTAGAGACATGAATAGCTTCTCTCTGTTCTCTAAGAAAACGTAATATTTCTCGTGTTTTTTTTTTTTTTTTTTGCTGAAAGTGTATGTAGAATAAATTAATATCTTCTCTAAATAAAAACACAGCTTTTAATTCTAGGTTGTTGACTTGAATGGTATTCCATTATCTCTGTTAACAGACAGCTTGACTTGTGTTTTCATCAAGACAGAATATATCTAGCGATAAATAGATTGCTTAACCTGTGTACCCAGTCAATATTTACATTTTTCTGAGAGCTTATGTACCACATCAGCTGTTTATGATAAGGTTGCTCATCTAGTAAATGATGAATTGAGATGATGAAATGCTTTGTTATTTATGTCAATATTTGTATTTTGTTTCCCTTTGGTAAACGGTGAATGTTTAGATATCGCTGAGGTTTTCTGATTTTTTTAAATGAACAAATTTGATTAATTCATTTAGAAGTATAGGATCTGTATCCCATTGCTAACTTACTGAATTAGCATTGTTTTCATGTGTTTAGATATTCAAAAATATTGGTGTTTAGGATGAGTTTAATATTTTGCAGTATTTAACTTGCTTCAGCTTGCTTCACGGTTCAAGCCGATGCACTTAAAAGCATTGTTTCTCTGAAATATGTGAAGAAAATCATACAGATAGCTTTATTGCTGAATTTCCCAGAAATTTGGTAATGTAGGTTGTTACTTCGACTTGCTATGATATACAGGTATGGGTGTAAAGAGTATCTTCACCTGATTAGTAATTCTTCTAAAATTAAAAGCTGGCAGACTATTATTTCATTGTTATATGTAAATGATTTTAAGACTGATTCAAGTCATACTTAATGAGGTTGTGAAGCTTAACTGAAAAGTTTAAATATATCTCAGTTGCTTGTTACGTTTTATTATTGATGATGTCTTTTCTATTTTTCTGTTGCTCCAATTCTAAACACAACATGATGTTTTTGACCTTGTGGTTATTAATTTATTGATTTCATCAGGGAGACTATTCTGAATATTCTCCTTATTACTGGAAGAATAAAATAAAAAGTCAGTTCTTGCATATTATATAATAGGGAGCTTTGCAGCTTTCAGAAATATCCTGTATTTGAAAGGCAATAGGGGGGGAAACCTATACTTTAGAAAGTATATAAATGAGAAAATGATGATCATAATTTCATCTTTCCTTTGACTAGTTCAAACTAAATATTAATGAAGAAATGGATTCACGTTTCAGTTTTAATCTGCATTAGATCTCAATCCTGTCCTTTGAGTGAAATTGAAAAAACTGGATTCTTAAAGTTCAGTAGGTCCAGACTGAGCCATTCATACCAGCTGTATGTACTTAGAGCAGTTTTCAGCCTGAAGATTGTCAGTACTTGAGTCTGTGAAGGTTCTGCAGTCTTACCTAAATTTATTTGCTTTGCCTTAAGGCCTTGAGATTCATTTTGAGAGTTACTTTTTTGGTTTTTTTGAAAGAAGAATGTATAAGAAGTTACAGATGTAAGCGACTAATTTTCTAAACACATGCCGTCAGCCTCTTCTTCCTTGGAGCCTGAGTGCCTTTAGGAAGGCAGAAGGGCAGGCACCTCATGGTTTATGATCACTCATGAACTAGTCTTGAGAAACTCCTGATACTGTGATACAGGGTTGTGATGTGCTCAACTGCTAATTTGCCAAAGCTTTGGCTTTTTCTTCAGTCTTTCGTATGAAATAGTTTAAGATTATGCTTTTGTTACCCTTTTCTATTTATCTTAGTGGTGGTTGCTTTTCTACTCACTGTTTCCTTTTTATTTTTGAACAAAAAGTGAAGTCCTCCTTCCCATATATTCCTTCGGAGCATCACAAGGATATTTCATTTTTCATTGATGTATAATTCCTTTTAAGTCCTTTTGGAATTACTTAAGAAAATTTACAGTCTACAGAGTAATCAATATTGTGGTTGATATAGAATTTTCCTTGAAACACACATCTATAGAAATGTTACTGAATAAAAAGGAAGCACCATGGCAATCTTATTCAGATGTTAGTGAGCATTTTGCTTTTTCTATGTTTAAAATTGTAGAGGAGAGATATTACCACCTTTGATTATTTCAAAGTCATACTTTTGCAAGCTCAGTTGCTTAGGCATCATTTTTGTGTGTTTTCTGCTGTCTTTGATCTCGAGAGTGAGTGTTTAAAGGTAACAATCTCTTTGGTTTTTGAAGAAAGTTTAAAGATCTTTTTAAAGTCATGGATTGCTCTTAATTTAGAGTGAGAGATCAGGCCTTGACAGGATTGAACAGTTGCTCCTTTTTCCAGGGAAGGGGAAAGGTTCTTGCATTCAGTTTTCATATAGTCCAACTTCTCCTTTACGTGTCATGCCAATATTTAAATAAACTAATTTTGTGCACTTTAGTTTACTCAGGTGTATTTGAATTAAAGTGTTGTAATTAAAGATGTGCTTTTTAGCTTTTGAGGAATTGTGACTGTTTCGGGGAAGGAAAAGATGTTATTGACAGTGTCTGCATATACTGTGAATTTACAGCTCAGAGTTCTTTAAAGGATGCAGTAGGTTTAAGTTTATACATATTAAAAGATTTGCGATGCCCAGGCAAGTTATTTCCTCTCTAACAGAAGGATATGTAACTAAATTTTGCAAGGCAAAAGTTAATCGGGACTTGGATAGTCCAGAAATGAGAAGTGTAAGTCCTTATGAGGTTATTTTCAGTTTTGATTTTTCACCCCCAAAATCTCCTGAAATGTTTCCTGGAGCTTCCTCAACTACAAGTTTTTTAGATTTGTTATGAGAGTCTTTGTGGAAAGTAAAAAGGCAATCAGGACATAAGGCGCTGCCCTTTTTAAGTGATATTTTGAAAGAGACTAGGCTTTGAGGTAGGCTGAATATTGAGCAGGAATACCAAAGGAATATGCATCTTTCCCTCAGAGGGAAAAGGACAGTGCTGTAAACTATTAGATGTATTCCTGTTTCTTTTTGCAGAATTCTTACGAGTGTGGTTACAAGTACTGACTTTCCTAAGAGGAAATCCTCACCCCTTGCGTACCTAGATAATAAGATCAGTGTTTTCTTTTTTTCTGTGTTGTTGATACATTTTGTTCTGTTGTGGTGATGGTAGAAAATGAATTCTGTGGTTCTTGATTTAGTGTCCTCAATCTACAGCATGAGCTACCTGACTTTTATTGTTATTTTATTAATACTGTGTTGAAGGATCTTACGTTTTTAAACCTTTTCCTGCCAGTTTTGTTTTATAGATTGTCTTAAATAAAATGAACTTTCTTAGTAGTACAGTATCTTCTCAAATGTAAAATGTATTTTTTTTTTTTTTTTGGAACCTGTAACTTTTCAGTTTCTGTTTTCTGGATAATCTGAAAAATATTTACGATATAAGGAGAATATTAACAGAACCTACTTCAGCCATTTGAGCAATAGGCTATAGAAGGTTTCAACTTGTATATCAGAAGTTGTATGACCACGTTCAGAGCAAGAAAACTGCATAAGGTTGGATTGGGTCTATAAAAATCCTGTTCTCCATTGAACGCACGCGTACAGAGTTTGGCAGTTGATTGTGTATCTCAGCTATTTGAACCATTGGTCTTAGTTTTACAACTGTAAAGGTAACTGATGAAAAGGAAAGAAAAGATGCCTAAATTAGTCCTCTGAAAAAAAGAGGGACAGGGGAGAGAAAACCTGCCTAGTCAGACCTGCTGACTGTGTTGTATTAAAATGTTTACTACAAGCACGTGACATAATGTTTTTGAAAGTAACCTCGAGAGCGTCTTAGCCATGCTTCGTGTATTTGGCAGTATTTTATTTTGTTGCAGACTGGATGGGCTACTTATGAAACAGAGAAATAAATGATTTAAAATTACTAGGAAAAGGTGATTTATTCATCTCCTTACCAACTGATAGTTAGCAGGGGTGGATATATTCCTTAGATCTCAGGTCAATGGAAGCAGACATGTACTTGTCTTTTATGCCTGAGATCTTCAAGATCCAGTGAAGTCATAATCTTGGACACATCAAAGTCTTACAAGAGTCAGAATAGTTTCTGCTTCAAAAAATTCTTGCTTTTACAATAAATTATAAGTAAATGAAATAAAACTTTTTACAAAGTGTTTTGATGCTTGTTTTGTAGATGGTGTTCTGACACTGAATACAGAGAACAATAATTTTCCCTACCAATTACCTAACTTCCATAAGTGTGAGATCTGTTTGCTGTCTTTTCCAAAAGAGACCCAGTTCCAGCGCCATATGAGGGATCATGAGCAAAATGACAAGGTATGAGTTTTAGCAGGTATAAACTTAGAAAATACCAATGTGTATTGATATTTTCATATACTGGTAAGTAAAGCTGATCCAAATAATTTAATATTGGAAATAATATTCAAGGTTTTTTAAAATCATGTCACTGATAATTACTGCTAGGGGACTTCAGAATGTGGAGAGAAACCATACTTTGATAGAATTTAGTTAGAATTTTGTCTCCGGTTCAGTAATTTTTAGTTGTAGTGTAGCAGTTTCCTTTGCTTTATGTCATCATCACCTCATCAGGTAGGTGAGAAAAGGTATGGGTTCCTTTTAAATCAATTTGTAAGCTGATTCTACACATTAGCAATAAAAAGAAAATAATGTGTGTATTGATTAACTGGACTCAGCTAGTCTTCTCTTACAGTTATTTTCAGTAAAGTCAAGGTGTATAATCTAGTGTGTTTTTATTCAGTAGACTGATGTCATCGCTTGAGTTGCTTACGAATCTAGTTTGGGCAAGAATGGGAGAAATACAGCTTTGTGATTAAGACTGCTGATTTATTAAATGGAGTATTGCCATAGATTGCATGTGAAATCTGAAGTATTTTATTTAATTTTTGTTCCTAGGTTTATGTTTAACAAAGCTAAAACTACCTTAAGTATGATGGAAAAATAATTTTATTGATGTTTGAGGTAGTGATACAGATTAATTCGTACAAAATGTAATTTTGTGACGTTAATCCATATATACGAAGGACTACTATAAAAGTTTTATGTTGTAAAGATTGTAACGTTAACTGCCACCCCTTTAATTTAAAACTGTGCTTCCTGGTATTCCACACTGCGAAAGGAAAGATGCTCTTTGACAGTGATAACTGGTTATGCAAATACCAACCCAAGAGCAGGTAGTCCTAGCCTAAACTAAGACTGCAGTTCTCAGAGGGCTCTTCGCTTTGCTGGTTGGATTCTTAATTGAGCTTCAGGAGAGTTTAGTATCTCAGTTAATGCAGAAGATGTATTACTGACCCTTCCAACAACTTGTTCTTCTCTTCTGCCATTTTCACTCTCAGAGCAATCTTCATTTTTGAGTATCCTTTTTCTTTAGTTCCCTTGTCGTCTTTACCCAAATAGCCTTGAAATATTGTGAGTTTTCAGTAACGGGACCTGAAGAAGAGAATGTAATTAAGATTGTTTGGTATTCTTAGGCATCATTATTGGATGTAGGTACTTGAATCATTATTATTTTTTTAATTTTGATTTGTATGGTTGCATGTGTTGCCTTTAGTATATGTAGCTTATGCTAAGACTGAATTTTGTCTTATCTTTGCTGTTTTCACAAACAGCCTCATCGGTGTGATCAGTGTCCAATGTCATTCAACGTTGAATTCAACTTGACACTACATAAATGTACCCACAGTGGTGAAGATCCTACATGTCCTGTGTGCAACAAGAAGTTCTCCAGAGTGGCTAGTCTGAAAGCTCATATAATGCTACATGAGAAAGAAGAGGTAATTCATTAAACCTCATAATTCTGTTTGTAAAAGGATGAACGTGTTGCAGTTGTTGTACTTAATTTTCAGCTGTATGCTTTAGATTGCAAGGCTGAGTAAAGGAGAAAAAAGGAAATACAGATTTTACAAAGGGGAATGTATTTTAATAATACTAACTGTCACGGATGAACCACATATAAGAAAGCATTACGATCCTGCTCTTACTAACACAGAGAATCTTTGCACATTTGATGGTTTTAATAATTCATTACTATTAACTGATTAAAATACACTGTAAATAAAATTAAATTTACCTGAAAATTGGTCTGTCTTTTAACTCTTCACAAACGTTTTTATTTTGGAGCAATTTCTGTAATTTCATGTACCTTGAGAAGCCCATGTGTAATAGTCTGGGTGGTCATTTGTTGATGGCAGAGGTCACTTTAGAAAATTCCTGTTTTTAGTGGTCTTGTCTGTAATCTGTTGGCATATTCTGATTACTGCTGAAGCCCTTTCACGGTGTAGTTCCTTCATTTTTAAGCTGTTTCCTTTATCTAGGAAAAAAAATCTTTTTTATTTTTGTAGCAGTCATTTCAACTGCAGGGACTGCTCATTCCTTTCCCTTCTCCAATCTTGTCTTCCATTTTGAAAAGTAATTGGTTAAATTCTTAACAAACAGTTAATGCGTGTTACTGTTTCTGAAACTTTATTGTAGTCTTTACTCCAGTTACTAGAGTTGATTATAGTGCCCAAAATACAAAGTTTTCAGTCTTACTGCCTCTTCATCCTTTGAAAGCTTATTGAAATTTGCATTCTGCATTGGAGAATTGGAGCTGACTCGTTGCCGGCATTCTAAACATAAGGATTGTGTGACTCTCCATACCAACTGGAGACAGCTTACAGCAGCTTTGGCCAGTGAGCTTGGGAAGATAATCTGTTTGATGCTTTTTTCCTAAACCAGGAGGGGAACTGCTGTCTGTAGAGAATGTAACTTCTGGTTAGTTTGTTTGGCTCTAAATGTATTCCATCCTTAATCCTGGTGTCAGTTCACGTTTTATCAAGTGTACAGCAGAGCTGACATGGGAGGACTTAAGTACAATTGTGTTGAGTATTAATGTATCTATAATGAGGCACAGTTTAATGGATATTAACTGAGGGGAGTAGATTTTTGGCTTGCTGAAAAGATCAGAGAAAGGAAATTGAGTGTCAAGAAAGATGCCTAGGAGTGCTTTTTAGAATTCGTTTGTATCACCAGGTGATTTTGCATCTGACTCAGCTGCTGATTATTTTGATACTTTATGCAGATATCAGCAGAATAGATTGTTTATAGGTGGCATTTGATTACAAGTAACTTTTAAGTATTCTAAGTAATAAATAGATGAGAAGTAAATTAGAACGTCAATGAAAGACACAAACAGCATTTACAGACTAAGAAGGCTCAGTCTGTGCTGTGTACCTACAAATTGTAAATGATGTGAATTCAGAGAAACTTTGAAGCCAAGGGAAATAGCAGAGTTGATGTGTGGTGAACACGTTTTCTATAAACAATAATTTCTCTTTTTTCTGTTGTTTTACTGATGCTGTGAAAGTATTCATATTGTAGAAGCTGCAGTCTCCTCTGTATATAATGAAAGGCAAGGTGCATGCTGTTTCTTACAACTTTTTGTGGACTGTTTGGAAATAGTTTATGGATCTGAATTTGAATCTACTTCTCTAGCAAATGAAATATTTAATACTCTGACTATTCTGACTCTTCTGTATGTTCGTATCTTATTTTCATCAATGCACTTAAAATTCCATTTGCAGCTTAAAAAGTAAACTTATAAGAACATCAGCACCTTTCAATTGCTAATGAATACATTCTCATATCATAATTCAATGATAAAACAGAGATGGTTGTAGTAAGGGTTAATTCACAGAGAATTACGGAAATGACTTTCCCAATGATTATGCATAGGGCCTGTAGGAGAAGTGGAATTTGTACTTGAAACATAAGGTCTTGACCATAGCTCTAGTTGTCATTCAGGAGTCTTTCTGAATGTGCAGTGTAAGAATTGCAGTTAGCAGTGGCATGCATTCTTCCTTTTTGCTATTTAGAGTGTTCTTGTGAGAACAGATGACAACCTGAAAATAGAGGAGAGATGCATGTTCACTTTGGGAACATACACAGTAGTTGAGGAAACTATTGCTCAAAGCTGAAATTTGTTTTGATGACTGTGCTGTGCTTTATCTGCATATAGGTGCAGAAGTGCAGTAACAAACAACTAGTGTTACTAGTTTGTTAATCTCTCCAGTTAGCTTCAGGAGAGCGTGTGTGTCTGTGCTGAATTGTGGGTTTTGATGATTGCTCCTGTGAGATGATCCAGAAGGAATTTTCTGGACCCTTTAAATCTAGCTTCCGAGAGACTTCTTTTCTCCTTGTGTTCTTTGGGGATTTCTTTGTGACAAACTGGTTTAATGAAGGGGAGGGGGGGAAAAAAACTATCTACACTTGAAATTCCTCTTTTTTCAAGTAACTTCCATAAACTAGTCCCACCTTTTAAATTTTTTAGCAAGTCACAACGAATTGTCTTGTGTAAATGTGCTCAGCCTTGTAGAGGTTTCCTGTTTCTCTCCACTTCCACTAAACTGCACTGGCATCCAGTATAATATTTTGCCCTGGTGAGACAAAAATGCTAAGTACAAACTGAATATTTTTATTACATTAAAATTGTTAATATATCTTCCCTCTCCAGTGGCATACATTTTTATTGGAATTTAGGAAAACCTTTATATATTGAGAAAGTTGAAATTGATGCGTTTGGTGGATGTAAAGTACAATTAGGGTAATTCAAATATAATGAACGTTATAAAAAGAGACAGAGCAAGGTGTTTTGTTTGTCCTGTCTTATAATTCAGGAGCAATGGGCTTTGAAAAATTGCAAATTAAAATAATCTTTTACAGATGTTGGGGGTCATTGATACTAAAAAGATGAAGATCATGGGTTTAAAAGGGTTCCTACAGATGCAGGATGTGATAAAATAAAGATAAGTAAAGCTTTATAAAAGTAATTTCTGAAGTTTGGAATTTTAGGTCTTACCTAGCAGTGCATAGACAGCCTCTTTTCTGTGGCGGTTAGAAGGTGGGTTTAACCGTAGTCAGGTTATCAATGTGTAATCACCAATTCTGTGATTTCCTTCCCCCTCTCACTCTGGTAGTACCTGCTCCAGAGGTGAGCTATTGGGCTTGATATATTGACGTGTTTTTTTGTGCAGCTGTTCTATTTTACCATGTTCTATCTTCCTACACTGAATTCTAAAATAATGAACAAAAATACATACAGTTCAGCTGTCTGAAGTGCTTCCTGAACCATTCTTTTGTTTGTGAAGTTGCTCAATAGGCTGTGTGCTAGCTCCATAGATGTATGTATCTGAAAGATGCTGAGAAGGGAATGACAAACAGTTTGTATCTCGGCGGTCCATGTGCTTGATATAGTGTGCCTTATAAGCTTCTCTTCAGGTAATTGTTCCCCACTTGTATGAAAGGATCATTATAAAACAACTTTGTATAAGAGCTTTCTTCAGCAAGAAGCAGTCTTATTCAGATGTGGAAATAGGAGGAAAAAAAAAGTAATTTTATTGTCCCACACTATAACTTAATTCCAGTACTGATAATCTTAGGTTAAACCTAAGAAGTCATTTTGAGGTAGTATTTCATTTCATTAAAGTACTCATCTTCAGATTTTACAATTTTGGGGTTGGAAAGGTTTTCTGGTAGTGTTACAGAATCTTGGATTTTTTTCCATAGTTAAGGAACAAATCTGTTGTCAAGCAATTTCACAGTAGCACTGCATATCTGCTCCTTTTTGTTTAAATATTCTTATCAACATCTTCTGTTTAAATGAGCACTGTTTTTGCATTGTTGATCGTTCAAGGAGAAGAACAGAGAAACCATTTCCATTTGTGGTGATACTAAACATAATTATTGTAAAATCAAATGGCACCAAAGCTATCTGAAATTACTTACTCACACCGGTAAGGAACATGTAACAGAACTATTGCTACAGACACAGTGAGAAATAAAATTAATGATTTGAAAAGTGAAGGAAAGCCAAATAAATGTATAACTTTGAGCTTTTTTTGAAACAATAATTCACTTTGAATCTTCCTCTTGAATTTCAGAGAAACACCAATGCATTTGCATTAAACATTGCTAGTATAGTTTCTATGCTAAATAGAAATGGTAAATTTTATGCTAAAGAGTAAGTGACGATCTGTATAGTTTTAACTAATAAGTCTATAAAATTCATAAATCTAAAATTGTAATATTTTTGATTAGAAAATTGGGGAGCTTGGGGGGGTTGTTTTGTTTTATTTGTTTTCAAAAATGTTTATGTAGACTGTAATCTAAAGGCAATAAGGTAAGTTTCCACATGTTTGAAATAGTCTAACAATGAAATAGGGAGTGGTGGGGATAGTACTGAAGCGTTTGTTTCTGCTACTGTAAGAACTTCTTCAAAATTCAATTTTAATGGATTTTTTGAAAGATAGTTGTGGAGGTAAGCGTGCACTGATTATTGTTATTGTTGGTGATTTATATTAGGGCCACACAAACTTGTTTCACTTTTATACTTTTATTGCTGCTTGCTTCCAGCTGCCTGTGTTCATAGGAGGAGACATTCATCTATTTGAGCAAAGCTTTTGAATATGTATTGCTGTTTGGGAATCTTTTAAAAAATCAATCTCTATTATCTCTTTCAGAATCTTATCTGTTCAGAGTGTGGAGATGAATTTACTTTACAGAGTCAGCTGTCCATACACATGGAAGAACATCGTCAAGAATTGGCTGGCAGTAGAATCCACAGCTGCAAATCTTGCAAAAGGGAATTTGAAACTTCCTCACAGCTAAAGGAGCATATGAAAACTCACTTTAAAATAAGGTGTCAATTACTGAATTTTAACAAAATGAGCAGATGTCACTTTTATGGTGATAGCTAGGGAAAGCAGGAGTAGCATTTCCTGTCAGCAGAATACCTTGATCTATGCAGATCATTTCCTTTCTTTGATACGGTGTTAATAAATGACTTTTTTTTTTTTTCTAAATCCTTGTTGAAATACATGGTGATTTTTTTTAAGAGCCATTTTTGCTAGGGACAGATAATAAGCATAATTTCATCTGCTAGATATTTCTAAATACAGGTTAAGTCTTTTCTGATAGAGTACTTTTTGAAGTGTGTTTATGTCGTGATTTTAGAGACTAATGCAAATACATTGAGGTAAATGTATATTAATTTTTTTATAGGAGTTACTTTAATTAATGTTTAGTTTCTGCCCAGATATAAGTTATTCCTTGCAATTTAATTTAACTTTTTTTCCTTGCAAACGATCCTCGTCACTGCCTGCGCTCAGTTTGTTGTAAATCTGAAAAAGCATAAAATCAAAGGAAAAGAGGCCTAATAATGCGCTTCTTTCTTTTTGTGAATATTTGTTCTGTTCTTCATTTCAGCTGTCTAGCTAACTTTATTTTTAAGAAGGTGAGAATTATTTTAAGTTAGAAGAAAGAAAACTTGTTTCTATTGATTTAGTTTATTCCTTAGGAAAATGTAAGATTCTGACAGACGGCCTGTTTTTTTTAACCTTTGCTCTATTTCTACAAACAACAGAGGGGAAAAATATATATTTAAAAAGGAGAAAGATCAGATACTTCCTTTTCTTTTTGTAAGCAGATGATGGAGATTGGGAGGTCTTAATAGTTGTGTTCCAGAAGTTTCAAGAAGGAATTGTTGCAGCTTTCTATCTGCAAGCTGAAAATTGAGGGTTTGAAATATGAAATTGTTTTGTTTGTATTGACTTGCATAAATATGTAATATTACACAAAATAATAGTTCTTGTGAGTACCTCCTGTGTAAGTTAGGATGAATAAGTGAAGAATAGATGAGTGAATATTATATGATTGCAGTGATTTTTGAGAGATTACTACGCATGCTACGTTTCGTTCAAAGTGTGCAAGATGTGAATGAGATCTCAGTCTAGTTCTGTGTTCCATTTGCTTTACTTTTGTTAGAAATTTCCAAGATTGAAAAGGCTTTTTCAGCAAGGAACAAAAAAAGAATTTGACGTGGTATTAATCTTTGGTGGGCAGGGATGGTCAAGGATAGAATAGGAAAAAACATCATTTGTGCAACCTTAATTTTATGCTGCCTATAATTCACAGATTGTTTCTTTAAGAACAGCTCTTCTGACCGTGCAGAAGAGAGCAAAGCTCCGTCATTTGTTTATCCTTAGTTTCCTAAACACGGATTATTCTTTGATCCAAAGCTTCCTCATATGAGATTCACCTTGCTTATCAATCTGAAGGAATTGTGCTTTGGTTTGATAGAGTTCTCTGAGGACTATAACATTGGCCAGAATATTCAGGTGTAGAAATGTTGCATTATCATTCAAGAAACTGCTGTCCATAGTTGTTCTTTGCTGTCGTTTTACCAGCAGTACCAAGACAGCCCATATAAGTTAGGTTAATGAGTCAGGTTAATGAATTGCAAAAGTATTCTTGCTTCCCCTAATCTCAAAGCTAATCTAGCTCAGGCCTGTGTTTCAGTTTTCTTAAACGTGCAAAGTAGAAATGGTTTTGGAAGGAAAAACATGGAAATTCTGATTTTGATTTAACACAATCCTCTCATATTGTTTATATGATTTAGTAAAAAATTAATATTTTATCTAACTTGTTTGACTGTATGCAGTATATTTAAAGTTAAAGAACATAAATCAGTAGTTAAAAATACTATTTATGATTTCTGCTTTGTAATGTAAAAGAAGCTTTAAAAAGTTATTTTAGTGTTTACAGTTACAAGAAGTTTTCCTCCCTTAAGTTTTTTCAGGAATTAGTTGTACTTCTCCCTCCCAAAGAGGTGTCTCTTCTGTCTCCTAAAACATTTGAATGAAAAATTTTTGTAGAAGTTGTAATTTAATATCTGTCCTTTACTAGCAAGAAAATTGTTAGTGTAACTATACATGATGAAATATTTTAGATTTAACACAGTGGTCTAAGCCTGAAAAATCTTCTCCGCAATTGTCTCCAAATTGGTTACGATAACATTTCCATATCAAGGTGTCACACCTGTAGTTTAAACAGATCTCATTTCTCATCAGAGAGTGTATTCTGACAGTCTGGATCTGCCGTGAGATGGAAACAAGTAGTAGTTCTAAAATCCGTGCTGTTTTCTCCGCTACTATTAAGTCTTCAGTGGATTTTGCTCTGGATGCTTAAGTAAATTATAGCAGATATAATTAATATGCCTAAGTAAAAACATTACCCAAATTCTCTGGTCACTTTTCTGCTTCTGCAGGAGTATACTTCAAATAAATTCTACATACATTTTTAAACCCTGTAATCGGAAGGGAGAATATGCTGTCCTTTAAATAGGCACTAAATATATGCGTTCTTCTAGAATGGAAAGATTTATCATTTGAGTAGAAGTTTAATAACTTCATGGCTTTTGAACAGACTCTTAATTTCCTGGAATTTTTTTATTATCATACTATCCTGAGTATCAAGCTGGCAGTATATTTTCCATACCTACTCCACATTACGTAACCGAGAAATAGGAGTTAACTGCAAAACAACCGGTATTTAAATTTATGTAATTTCTGTTGGTGTTTAGTCAGTACTGACAAACGGAATTATCGTATAGATGTAAATGTTCAGGAGCTTTAGAAAATGTGTAGTGTTATAGATACCATATTGGTTTGCCCACTGCTTTTGCAACTTCTTTAGTTAAATTGTTGTAATGACTTGTAAGATCTCCTAGGTTTGATTTGGAATTTTTTTTTCTTTTTCCAGCATAAACTCATTTATGTTGTTTTTCCACATTCGGCAGTCATTGTAACTAGCTAGATTTATTTGCAGAGAAATGAATTACGGGAGTTTATATAATTGGTTATCATAGCTTTATGGAGGATATAATTTGTATTTGAGAGTCAGTGGTGAATATTTGGAATGTTAAATGCTAAACCTGTTCTTGTTAAACTGCAGAGAATATAATTGTCTGGGTCCTAATTCATGAGATACGCAAATTCTTATTAAGAAAAAAGATCCTGCTATATTGAAGCAAAAGAAATCAATTACAAAATTCCCTCCAGAATGGTATTTGTGAAGTCACTCAATACTTATACCTGAATTTAGAACAAAAGTATCTCTAGAGAACCTCTAAGTTGTATCAGGTTTATTACAGAAATAATTGTAAAATTATTGGTGGTGGTTGTGCAGGTGGATTTTAAAAAAGGTTGACAGTGTTAGCATTGCTCTTCTCATACTGGTAGGAGAAAGCTTATTGACACACCTGATACTGCACGTTATCACCAAATTTAAACTGTATATTAAAAATGGTATAGTAAAAAAAAAAAAACTTCTAAATAATCTGTTTAATGTTAGGATTAAGGTGATCTGTTTGTTTATTTCATTTATTTATTTATTGCCAGGGTATCAAATACAAGATCTTATAACAGAAACATTGACAGAAGTGGGTTTACCTATTCATGTCCGCACTGTGGAAAGACTTTCCAAAAACCAAGTCAGTTAACTCGACATGTTAGAATACATACAGGTAAGACTGAGGAAGTAATTATTTTAGATTGTAGCTGTTTTTCCAAAATTCAATTACTTTGTGAAATACTAAATACTTTTCTATGTTGAGGCTTGAAATAATAGAATTTGCCAAATATGTGTTTACTGAAAACAAATTCCATTGTGTGACTCCTTAATAGGACTCTTTTGAAGCTTTATAGATTTTAGTTGCAAAACAGTGACACAGGAGGTCATCCTTTACCTGCTTTAGAAGTTGCCTCAAAATAACATCCAAAATGTGGTTGAAAAGTAACTCTGATACATTATTTTAGCTATGGTAGCCAGAATTAAAGAAATAAGAGTGTAGACACTTTTCTAAAGCTTCAAAAAGTTCAAGTGCATTTGTAATTCTTCTGGAAGAATAAAGAGATGTTTATCTATTGGAGGAATCACAGATAGAAGATACAGTCCCAATCTGCACATGACAGTGGGCCTTTTTAAGTTCCAAATAGTTAAGTAATACTAATTTAATTTATGAAGTATGTTACTACTTTGAATCTGTAGATAACCAGATTATTATCCATCCAGTTGCTTGAGGTTCTGTAAAATATGTAGGAAAGATGATCTCTGCTTTAAAGAATCTAGAATTTTTAAGTCTTGAATTTTGCATTTCCCACCAGAATTAATATTTAGTTTGTATAATGGAAGTAACTTAAAAAAGGCTAACTTAGGCTAAAGAAATGCTTCTATAGGCCCATCAGTAGCTATTAGTAGAAGCTAAGCATTTTACCTATGAAATGGTGGTGTCCCCCAGGGGTCAGTCCTGGGCCCAGTCTTGTTCAATATATTCATCAATGACCTGGAGGAAGGGACAGAGTGCACCCTCAGCAAGTTTGCTGATGATACTAAACTGGGGGGAGAGGCTAACACAGCAGAAGACTGTGCTGCCCTTCAGAGGGACCTGGACAGGCTGGAGAGGTGGGCGGAGAGGAACCTCATGAAGTTCAACAAAGGCAAGTGCAAGGTCCTGCACCTAGGCAGGAATAATCCCATGCACCAGTACAGGCTGGGGGTTGACCTGTTGGAAAGTAGCTCTGCCGAGAAGGACCTGGGAGCGCTGGTGGACAACAAGTTAAACATGAGCCAGCAGTGTGCCCTTGTGGCCAAGAAGGCCAATGGTCTCCTGGGGTGCATTAGGCAGAGTGTTGCCAGCAGGTGGAGGAGGTGATCCTGCCCCTCTATTCAGCCCTGGTGAGGCCTCACCTGGAGTACTGTGTCCAGTTGTGGGCTCCCC